TAAATAGTGTAAGTAATATATTTTTTTATGTCACTAGAAAAGCCAACTGTACTGAAATGGATGACTTGACAATCTGTATATAATAAATTCTTTTATTGACGTACTAAAAATCAGCAGCAGCATTTAATTGCAAACTCGATGAAGCTTCGTAATTATTCAGTTGTGTACAGGACGTTATTTGTTTAGTTTCGTCTTCAGGAAGTACTTAACATCAGCAAGAAAATTCAAATACAATACAACATAATGTTTCCATATAAGTACAATTGTAATGGTAATTTCTGTTTGAATTTCTGGGATGATGAGTTACTATTACCGCTAATTATATTCGGACTATTGTCCTCATCTTTGTTGTGCCTTCCGAACTTTTTAGTTGTATAGCGTTTATAACTTTTATTATTTGTTTTGTTTTTGGTTTCTGGTTGTTTTTTTTTTTTTTTTTTTTTTTTTTTGGTTTGATTATGGCTCGGGAGAAAATGGGTATACACAGAAATCAAATTGATACATACAAGCAGAGCAATCAAATCGTCGTGATTAGAGACCGCAAACCCAAAATGTGCTCCTTTATTGATATGGCAGTCCCTGCAGACTGCAATTTATTTTTGAAGATCTTCAAAAAACTATGAAAATACAAGGACCTTAAAATCGAAATCCCCCAAAAAGTAGCACATGAGATCATCAATAACTCCAGTTGTAGCGTTATCCCTCAGGTTGATTGGGAAAAAAATTCCATTAGACTCATTAAAGGGATTCCTGATAGCCCATGCCTTAAAGAAAGAGAAAAAAATGTTCTCGCCGGTGTAGTAAATTTCTTTAAATATAGCATGGAAATGTGGAAAACCATATTATATCTAAATCACACAAAAAGGTAATGTCACTTCCAATTGTTTGAATATCCGTCGAGGAATCATTTAAGGAGATTTCCCGATGCTCCTTTTATTCTGTCTCTCTTTAATCCACCTTTTGCATGAACTAAACAGTACTAACTATGGATACAAAGTACAAAGTTTAATCACCTACTCTACATGTACGATATCAAACTCTTTGTCAAAGACGCCAATGAGTTGAAGGGTATCCCTAATACGTTAACATCTTTCAGTGATGACATCGGTAGGGATTTCGGATTAGATAAATGTACAAAAATAACATTCAAGAAAGGGAGAATTACAGAAAGACACTCAATAGATCTAGATTTTGTAACAAAGATTAAAGAACTGGGAAGAGATGACGTCTATTAAATACCTAGGAATCAGCGAAGCGGCCGTAATACAACCTACCCAAATGAAGGAGAAAGTAAGAAAAGAATACTACAGGCATGTACGGCTAGTGTTAAATACACAAAACTCATTGAATTCACAAAACAAAATATCAGCCATAAACACCATGGCTGGTCCTGTTGTGCAATACAGTTTCAACATCCTTAAATGAGCTATAGGTGGCACTAAGCGAATGGACGCCATAACCTGAAAGCTTCTCACTAGACATCGCGTGCATCATTCCAAGTCTGATACTGATCGTGTGTATATATCCAGATCCGAAGGAGGTAGAGGATTAGTTCAACTAGAACTGTCTTACGAAACTACAGCAATCGGTCTTCAAAGATACCGGGAAACTACAGAAGACTGGATGATGATCTGTGTCAAAGAACATGAAAGTAATAAGCGACTTTATTCAGTAATAAAGGAAGCCAACAAGTTCAAAATGGAGTTTCAAGTGGGTAAAAAAATACATGGAAAGCATAATAAACCGACTAAAGCTGCAAAATACTTAAAAAAAAAGAAAGCAAAAGCAAATGCAACCGATCAGATACAGAAACGATAGCAAGATAAAACGCTTCACGGTCAATACCTTGCCCGTACCAAACAATCTGATGTAGACAAACCCTGTACCTATCAGTGGCTATGTAGTGCAAGGTTAAAAGTTGAAACCTAAGGTTTTATTCTTACTGCACAGTACCAATGCTTGCTAACTAGAAATTACCAAGCACACATACTGAAAAATTGTATTAGTCCAAAATGCAGATTCTGTGATAAATATCCAATTGACCATGTTGTATCAGGTTGCGCGGTATTGGCACCCACTGAATATAAAACCCGACATGACAGAATGGACCAAAGGGAGAATTACAGAAAAGACACTCAATAGATCTAGATTTTGTCACAAAGATTAAAGAACTGGGAAGAGATGACGTCTATTAAATACCTAGGAATCAGCGAAGCGGCCGTAATACAACCTACCCAAATGAAGGAGAAAGTAAGAAAAGAATACTACAGGCATGTACGGCTAGTGTTAAATACACAAAACTCATTGAATTCACAAAACAAGGTAAAGGTATTACATATCACATGCCAAAAACAAGTAAAACAGTAGTTCCGAAAATTTACCTAGAAACTACAGAAGACTGGATGATGATATGTGTCAAAGAACATGACAATAGTAAAAGACTTTATTCAGTAATAAAGGAAGCCAACAAGTTCAAAATAGAGTTTCAAATGGGCGAAGAAATACAAGTAAAGTATAATACACCTACTGCATCGGCAAAAAGCTTAAAAAAGAAAGCAAAGGCAAACACAGAGGACCATATACAGAAACAATGGCAAGATAAACCGCTTCATGGTCAATACTTCTGCCCGTATAAAACCTGCTAATGGAGACAAACCTTGTTGCTATCCGTGGCTACATAGGGCAGGGTTAGAAGTTGAAAGCGAAGGTTTTATTCTTGCTGCACAGGACCCATGTTTCCTACCGAGAAATTACCAAGCACAAATACTGAAAAATTCTGTTAACCCGAAATGCAGATTCTGTGAAATATATATATATATATATATATATATATATATATATATATATATATATATATATATATATAAAGCAACTGACAATCTTGTATTAGGTTTCACGGTGTTAGCATCGACTGAATATAAAAATCGGCATGGTAGAGTGGCCAATATCTGCTCTGGAATATATGCAATTTTTTACGGGAAGGAAACTGAAAGAAACTGGTAGACCTTGTTACAGAGATAAGAACTGTAACAGCTTTCTGGGACTTAAAATACACACAAACAGAACAATTAATATTAATCGCCAGACATCGCAATCAAAGAAGACGCTAACAGAATATGATGATTTCTTATAGATATGGCAGCCGCTGCTGATTGTATATTTGAAGAGCTTCAAAAACTATCAAAATACAAGGATCTTGAAGTGGGGTTCTAAAAAAAAATGTGGCACATGAGCATATAATAATAATTCCAGATATAGTTGGAGGCTTCGAATTGGTAAAAGTACTGATAGACTCATTGAAGAGATTCCAGGTAGCCCATGCCTTAAAGAAATACAAAAAATTGTTCTCACGAGTACAGCTCACACATTACGAAGATCTTTAAGGATGTAAAATTTGTGTGATCTTAGTTTTATTTTTTTTTAAATGATCAGTGGAAAATACCATGATGTCATTTCTGACCTTAGGTCACTGGTTGGGACTCGGAAGGAAATATGTATATAACAGAAATTCAAACAAGTAATAATAATAATAATAATAATAAATAGTTTTCATTCGGGAAAAAAATTTTTCACGGTTTTCCTATTTGAAATTTTTGATGAATCTTAATTCTGACGTTAATGATTGAATAAGTTCATGGTGTGTTCTACGACAGTAACATATCTGTAAAATTTTCCCTATTACATAGGTAAATATTTGAGCTTAACAACTTTAACAAAATATTGCAATAACAATCATAAATATTAAATCTGGTCGTTATTTTCAGAAGTAAGGGGGTACAAATCAAACATTTGAAATTGTTAACTTTTGCATTTCACAGACGTTGAACACTTCTGTCTTCCTTTCTTTCTTTCGTATTTTGAAAGATAAGAAATAGCGTCTTTCATATTTCATTTTTTGTCTTTTTACGCAGTCAAAACGGAATAGTCCATTATTTATGAGGCATTAGCAGGAGACGTTAAACACTTGTTTCTTTCTTTTTTTTCTCACTGAAACGAAGTAGTGTCTCTGATATGTCTTCCCTCTCAATCAAATAAACCATTATTTATGAGTTCTTGGCAGGGCGTAATGGTCGTGCAAACTAACAAATAGCGGGGAAAGCACAATTTTTATGTAATAATAATAATAATAATAATAATAATAATAATAATGATAAAGATCTTTAAAAAAAACTATCAAAATACAACGACATTGAAATTGAAATCTCCAAAACGTGGCAGATGGAGAAATCAATAACTCCAGATGTAGTTGGAGCCCTCGGTTTGATTGGAAAAGATTCCAGTAGACTCATTAAAAGGATTCCTGGTAGCCCATGCCTTAAAGAAATAAAAGAAAATTGTTCTCACAAGTACAGCCCACACACCTTACGAAGGGCTTTATCTATGTAAAATATTTGTGATCTTAGGTGATTTTTTTCCTCAAAAAATGCTCAGTTGGAAATGTCATGATTCCATTTCTAAATTTAGGTCTCTGGCTGGAACCTAGAAAGAAGTGAGTATACACCATAAATCAAGGAAGAAAAAAATAATAGACCACTGGTGTTAAGGATGTAGAAAGGGGAAGTGGGGTCGTTAACAAAGAGAACTGAATCGAACTTTCTATCGAAAGATGCGAGGACAAGGAGGAGTACTGAAAAATTAGCACAGAGAAAAGATGCAGCATATCTCTCTTTCATATACAGTGTCTCATCGGAACAAGGGCGATCATAGGACTCTACAATTTCTTATGCTTTTTAGTTGTAATTAATTTGTGTCCCCTCACCATTCATCCTGGTCCCTATTATGTTATTTAGCCCCTTAGGTAGCTTAATCAATATTATCTTCATCTGTTCTTATCTTCAGTATATCCAGTGAGTATCAATTTCCCCAAGCCTTCTTTTCTCATTATTTCAGCTGTCACTTTCTAGATCCTATCCACAAGTGTTCATTTCGCTCCTATTTTCATTAAAAACTTCCACGTTACTCACATGTACCGTACATGTTATTCTCAACATCCCCCGGCTTTACGGCCACACCACGTTGAAACACTGGTTCCCGTACGATCACCGAAGTTAAACAATGTCGAGCCTGGTCAGTATCTAAATGGGTGACCGCTTGAGAATACCAGGTGTTATAAGCTTGAAGATGCGCGTGTTGTAATGGATAATGGCTCGGAATTGGGATTCGAAGGGCCGAGTTTCAATTCCCGTTAGGTTTGTTATATTCACTTACGCGCAAATAACCTGGGAAAGGCATGAATCTGTCCCTTCTCCCCAGCTATGGGTTAATTAGTAAGACTTGTAACTCTAAACCATTATTATCTTAAAAAAATCTTACAATCTAATAATATTTCTGGCTCTAAATAACCTGAATATGGTTTCTAAGCTGTAAAAATCGAACCAATCAATCAACATCCTTATACAAAACACCACGTCTGTTGCCTAAAGTCACCTCTTCATCTGTGAGGAGATTTTTAAGCATCCATTGCCATATAAGAAGACAGCTATTACATAGTACAACTGACAGGAGAACGAATAAACAATCCCAAAACTCTAAATCAAGGAGCCAAAACAAAAATGAAAAACAAAACCATTGCATGACACGGACATCGCTGGAAAAAAAAAACTGATATTGAAGAGTGATTATTTAATGGCGACCAAGAACGATTTTATTGGAGTGAAACTCTCCTTAGACCATAAGAAACTAAATAGAGCAAAAAGTGAAAAAAGAAAGAAAAACGTGACAACCACACAGTTGGTTGGTTGGTTTTGTTTAGCGGCATATCAACATCTCTATGGGTTACTTAATGCCGAATTTTAAATATTTTGAACACAATTTTATGGTTTCAAGTAAATATATTTTGAACGCAATTGTATGGCTCCAATTACAGATAAAATGTATTGTCGGTCATTTTGCTATAAAAAAAATATTGTCGGTTATTTTGCTATAAAATATATTGTTGGTCATTTTGCTATAAAATGTATTGTTCGGTCATTTTTCTATAAAATATATTGTCGGTCATTTTTCTATAAAATGTATTGTTGGTCATTTTGCTATAAAATGTATTGTTGGTCATTTTACTATAAAATGTATTGTTGGTCATTTTTCTAAAAAATGTATTGTCGGTCATTTTGCTATAAAATGTATTGTTCGGTCATTTTGCTATAAAATATATTGTTGGTCATTTTTCTATAAAATGTATTGTCCGTCATTTTGCTATAAAATGTATTGTCGGTCATTTTGCTATAAAATGTATTGTTGGTCATTTTGCTATAAAATGTATTGTCCGTCATTTTGCTATAAAATGTATTGTTGGTCATTTTGCTATAAAATGTATTGTTGGTCATTTTGTATTGTTGTCTATAAAATGTATTTTTGTTAAAATGTATTGTTGGTCATTTTGCTATAAAATGTATTGTTGGTCATTTTGCTATAAAATGTATTGTTGTCATTTTGCTATAAAATGTATTGTTCGGTCATTTTTCTATAAAAAGGATTGTTGGTCATTTTGCTTTAAAATCATTGCAGGGTATTTTATTGTAAAATTGTATTGTAATTTTACTATATAATATGTATTATTCGTATTTTTACTATAAAAACTGTATTTTTATACTTTCATAGTGTTTTGTTTTTTGTTGGGGGTGGGGGGTCACTATTTACCCATAGATGGGATCGTAACAGGTGCTACCACCCGGGTCAGTGTCAACCTGGGGACAACAGCAATTAAGAGATGAAACCTCAAAACCTCCAATCCAAAGATTTGTTGTCAGAAATAATCTATCATCATACCCAAGACGACAACCACACATATGTAGAAATGAAACCATTAATCATAATAAAAATGTAACATATTAGCTTGAGAATACTACAAAAATAGGCATAATTGGGTAGGAGCGGTGATCCACTTTGAATTGTGCCAGCAGTGTCCTGCAAAGCGCATTCTGCGTTCGCGTAAGATTGTAGAAATATCAGGGATGGGTTCATAGAGCTGTGATTTAGTTGGATTTTGTCTCCAAGATCTTTTAAGTATAGTGAGTGTGGGTTCCATCAAAGTTAGACTTAAGGGTTTTAGTTAATGTCCAAGTAGTGGCACCATACATTAAACCCGACTCTACAGTGGCGTGAAAGAATCTCCGTTTGAGGTTGTCTGGTAGATCAGATTTCCAGGTTTACATCCATTTTTTTTTCAAGGCGGCCCAATCTTTAGCTATGCGTATTTTCACATCCTTTTTCGCAGAATTTATTTCGCTTCCAAGGCATGCAAAATATTTGACAGATTTCATTGATTCACCTTCAGACAGTTTTTATTGAGCCTTGTTCGTGGAAGCTTAGGAATGCAGTTTTAGATGTGTTGACATAGAGCCCAACATGGCCAGCAGCATTTTCTAGATGATGAAGGAGAGCTTTTTCTATTGGCCATGGTGTGTGCAATGATAGCTAGGTCATCTGCATAGTCAATATCCCAAGCGGTCCCCCATCTAAGTACTGACCTGGCTCTACGATGCTTAACTTCGGTGATCGAACGAGAACCGGTGTTTTCAGCGTGATTTGACCGTAAGCTGGTACTGTAAGCCCCCAAAGTCCAACCCTTACCTCACAGTCGGTGGGGGGGTGTAAATGGTAGTGTCAGAGCTATGCCGTCCGGAACTTCGTTCCTGGTAGGGCCACCCAAGGCGGACAGGTCTGACACACACGCCGGCTAACAAGGGCTCTGGTGAAAATCCAAGGAGCGTCTGCATCGGCAACCGGCGGCTTCTGGTCGTTCCTGTCTCTGCGTCTGTGGGAACACCGCGGCAAGCAAGAACGTTATCCGAGTAGGCCTGGGCACCCTACTTCTGTAATTTATCCCAAGAATCTTCTTCTCACAACAGGAAGAAGCCGGCTCAATCCACCCAGAGTGAATGCCGCATCAGGACAAGAGGAGGACATAGTCAATATCGGTCAACGTTTTTTTTGCAGGATATCGACTTGAGAGTATTGCAGATAAATTAAAACGATGATGATGATGATGTTTATCAAGTGAAGTTCTCAGAACATTGTCAAAGGTGGTGAAAAAGAGAAAAGTTGCAAGTGTGTCACCCTGAAGAACCCCTTCTTTAATATCGAAGAAGCCAGTGTCTCCGTCTGCGGAGCTAGCCAAAGATTTCGTATTTCTGTATATTATTATGGCATCTACTGTCTCAGGGGATGTCATATGCCAGAAGCATCTTCTTCTATGAACAGAATCGAAGGCTTTAAAGAAATCTACAAAAAGTAAGGCGGACGTAAATTCTTTACCCTGACGTCCTCAGCAATCCGCCAAACAGAATTTTCCCAGCATTATTTACATTGTTCGGATTTGTCGCCATATTTATCACAACGTTTCGGTCGTTGTACGCTCCGGCCTTCTTCAGGTGGTTGGAATGTCGAACTGAACCCTTTATTTCGCTCACTAGGGTAGACTGTTCTAGTTCCACGTGCCATGTTTTGATGGATGTCAGCTATCAGTTATCTCCTGTTAATTTTCCCTCTGAAAGTTCTCCACTGCCTTAACCGGGTATTGAACTCACACTCTTTGGGTCTTGTCACTGGATCTAACCAACGGCTTTATCCACTGTGCTTGAGGACATCTGGGTATGAATTTCTGGGTATTATACCCGAGCTCATATTCCAACTTTGTTGTTATCATTGCTTTTCTCTGGCACTCCTTATTACTGGTTCCCATATTGTATTTATCAGCGAAATAAAGGGTTCAGTTCGACATTCCAACCACCTGAAGAAGGCCGGAGCGTACAACGGCCGAAACGTTGTGATAAATATGGCGACAAAGATAAGGACAATAGTCCGAATAATGTAAATAATGTACATAATACCTCATCTCAGAAATATAGACAGATTTTCCCAGCAGTTGATGTATTTTTTTTCGAAAGCCATTTTAATTTTTTCGGAACACTTTCGCTACTTCTGTTGAAAAGCATTCAGTTGTAAATTTTTGATGCAATAGAGGTAAGTGTGATTCCTCTATGATTTGATAGCTGTGTATATTATAAAGACAGCTACTATTTCTGGGAGCATATCATATACCTGAAGGATACTCTCCATTTTCCACCTATGAACAGAATTGAAGTCTGCAGAGAAATCTACAAAAGTAAGGCGACTTGTAAATTCTTCATCCTAAAACCCAGAATAATCCACCGAACAGTCAGGATTTTTCCAACAGTTGATTTATTTTTTCGAAAGCCATTTTGATTTTTTTGGAGCACCTTCGGAGCTACTTCAGGTTGTATTATTTTGATAAGCATTGAGTTGTACATTTTTGCTGCAATAGAGGTAAGTGTGATTCTTCCATAATCTTTGGCCGATTGTAGATCTCCTTTTATTTGGAAAAGGAAATATGTAACCTTCTGTCCAGCTTTCTATAACTTTTCAATTATATATGGCGTTAAACTGAAACAGAATATCAAAGTACTGACAAATAAATGTTTGATATTTCAATGTTTTACTGAGTAATGTGAGTGTGTTTTGAAAGACATGCTCATGTTTCCAAAGCAACTGATATAAAATTTCGCGTGATGACACCAGTGATCTTTGATGTAAAGGTTTTGAGGAGTTGACCTTAAATATTAAGGTAATCAGAAGCGCTAAACTGTGCAGTTGCACGCAAGTGAAGTTCGTATTAAGCGTTTTGCGTTTGTACGCACACATACATAAATATGATTGACTGATTTGTTTGTTTAACGGCATATCAACACCTTATGGGTTATTTGATACCGAAATTTAATTGAAATATTTTAAAACACAATTTTATGATTTCAACTACAGATAAAATGTATCGTTGGTCATTTTGCTTGAAAATTATATTGTTGGTATTATTTCATACAAATATGTATTGCTGGTATTTTTACTATAAAAATGTATTTTTATTCTTTCATAGTGTTTTGTTTTTATTTGGGAGTTCACTATTTGCCGATAGCTATGGATTCAAAAGAAGGCTAGCACCCAGGCCAGGGTGGACCTAGGAAAAACAGCAATTAATAGGTGGTTACACGCTCCTCATAATATCCAATCTATCGATCAGCGGCCTTGCTACTGGATGTAGTTTATACTCATACCTAGGACAAGCAAATGAGAAGTGGTTCCATGCGCCTCAAAACCTCT